AAACCCAAACAACAAAAACAACTTTTATAGTAGCCAAGTTAAATTCATTCTTCACAAATATTCCCACAGAATAAACATAACATTTTCTTTAGCCCTGACCAGTTAACCAAATCCAACTTTTAAGAAAGGGGGTGTTAAATGTTTCTCCTCTGACAACGTTGTCCAAAACTGTAGTGTGGGTGGAATATTTTTGGAAGGCTTTTGGGATGTTTCTTTTTTTTTCTTCTTTCATCCCTTACTTTCCCCGAATTTTGTTTCCTTGGATACTTTAAAATCAAATCCAAATTGTCTTTCACATCATGAAGAATGATAGACACCTAGATAATTCTGGAATCATACATTTGGGTCTTAAGTGTTTCAGTCAAACAATGAAGTTGAAACAAAACATTTTATTTATTATCATTTTTTACTGGCACCGGAGCTTAGTTCTCATGAAGGCAGACATCTTCCCTGTTTGTAGTCCAAAGCTTTCGGCTTATTCTCAGAAGAGATAAAAAGGCAAAATTAACACAAACAGCTCTGCTTTAGGCTTGACGATAAGGAGAAAAATGATCCTTGTGAATGTTGGCCTCATAATTGCTAGGCTACCACAAGGATGGTGTTTTGAAAACCACTTGTCTTTATAAGATACTAGTCAGATGACAATAGTTTCATTGCTAATAGCTATGATACAAATGCAAATAGAAGCCTGGGTAGCCCATTATCTAAGCGATAGCCCATAGTGTCAATTTGCCTGGGTTAAAATCTCAACTCTGACACTCACTAGCTCTGTGACTTTGGGTGAACTATACAACCTCCTTGTGCTTAAGTTTCTTTCATCCATAAAATGAGAATAAAGATAGTATCTATCTCGTCAGGCTATGGTGAATATTACATGAGTTAATATCTCAAAAATATTTAATGCTCGTATGTAATGTGTCTTAAAGTGTTATCTCCTGTTTTTAATAGATCGTAAAGACTGGGGCTTTTTCCCATTGTAGACTTACTCATTTCCCTTTGCTACTTTTTTAACCATCACCTCCATGAAAACAAGGGCTTTTTACGCTTTTTTACTTCCTGAGGGCTAAGCACTGTATTAACTACTTTACTTTCATTAGCTCATTTTATCCTTACAGTGAATTTAGGAGGCAGATGGAAAATGGAAACCAGGTAGTAACCACTGCAGTTTGGTGACTCCTCTAGAATATTCCATGTAGCTTCATTGAGTGTATTTTCATGAATAGTGTAGCAATCAAATAGACCACTTAAGACTATTTGATTTGCATTATTTAATTAAAATACTACAGGATTTGTTATTGGTTGATAACCATCCTCTTCATCTCTACCTTGCAAAGACCTAGCAAACTTTGAGGTTTGGAATAGGAGCTAGGGGTTCTCATTAAGAATTAGCATTTTCTACTCACTATTGTAATATTGCCAATTTCTGCAAAATGATAACTAGAAATAACTAGAAATTTTCTTTCAATTAAAAAAATTGAGTTCATTCCGATTATTGCCATGACCCTATCATTTGAAACCTTATTTCTCCCAACTCTTCTTTCTGCTGGCTACAAAATAGCCTCAGTATAACTTGGACTGCCTCATGGTGATACACACTGAGGATTGGAGAATGTTGTGGGGAATCTGAGTTTTAAGAAAGTAAGATCATTATCAATTACTATTAATTGAGAGTCCACAAATTGTGAGGAATTCTGGCAGGTACTCAGAGTTTAAAGATAAATTCTAAAATTTTAGTTTCTACTTCCCCTCCAACCCCTCCACCCCTATTACATTCGCTAAACTTTGGTGATTGTGATTTTTAATGATTATTTCTAATGCATTTAAGGCATCTTGAAGACTTGGTAGCCCATTAAAAATAGCAAGACATGAACCCTTAGATAGACTCCTGACTCAAAAATGTTTTAATATGCGCTAGTCATCTCCTCAAGCTGCCAGTTCCTCAATCCTTTTTCCTTTTTCCATTTTTCTTTTTCTTTTTTTTTTTTTACTTTATGCATTGATTTACTAGAAATGAAAACGTCTACATTAGTATGATTCTATGTTTGCACATCTGGCATATTCCAATCTTATGAAAGTAAATATGTAAATATATCATGCTTAAATGTAATGTTTTAGCATTCTTTCATACGGAAATCTAATTCAAATATACTGGAAAAAATTCTCATTTTGATTAATTTGTGGTAATATCAACCTCCAAATAAACAGCGGGTGCTCTCTCCTAGCATTTTTTTTCAGCTTTCAGAATTTGCTTTTATGGTACCTATTATTTCCAGATGACAGGACATGGTGCTGAAAAGTATGGGAAAATATGGTTAGACTAATGGGTTTCCTGCCGACTAAATCATTCTGAATCATTTAATGCGGCTTCTATATTATCTCACTGTTGATTAAAGCAGAGGCAAATTACAGTACTGGCATCTCTTTAAGAGAAATTATTTGATGAACTGGTTCTCAAAGAGGTGGGGAAATGTGATATGGCTGCGTGCTTAAGGTACATCATTTTCAAGCAATGCGTTTCTGAGATACAGTTAGGAGCACTGAATTTATATTCCCGATGGAGATGTCACTCTGATCATGGCACATGTATGTCAAGATGCTATCTAAGCTGAAGAATGTTTTTAAACTTTAATTTATAAACCTCCAAAGCCCCTTCATAGATGAAACTTAGAAACCTGAATACCTTGGCTGGTTTTCTGCATACAGGAAATTAAAAATGGCTTCTTATAAAAGAAGGATGTCAGAGGAGAACAGGAAAAAAAGAAAGGAAATGTGTCAGAGTTGATTAATTATTAGAGTTAAAAATATACCCATTATAAATGGTAGTGGAGCAGTGATTTAAAAATGCATTTTAAATGACGACGGCTTTATGATTTGGATGTCATTTGCTCAACACAGAGATCCTAATGTTGATTGATGGGCTTATAGATGTCTTCCTTGGGATTTGGCAGACGAAACTGATGTCTATGCATTAAATCAAATGCTTCCACATTTTTTGGTTCTATTATAACACTCAAAACATCATTCACAATGATCTGAAAGACTCACATCCTGGGGTTGTGACAAATGAAACCCACTTATCTCATCCAGATTATATGACTATTTTCCAAACCCTTTCTTACTATCTTGTCTTCTGAAGCTATGCCATGATAATTTCAGACATTTCTTTTTCTGTTTTTTATGTATTGATATTTTCCCCTACATATTTTGGCATTTGATTCATCTTCCTTGAATTGCCATCAGCTTAGCATTGGCAATTTTTTTGGTGCCTCATGCATTTTACAGAATAAAGATAAAACCTGCTTATACTCCCCTCTGCTATGGTTACATGGTTGATGCTAAAGAAAAATTCAGAAAAGGCATTTGGAGAAAACCATTTAAGCGTAAGGATAAGGAATAAAGAAAACAGGCTATAAAGGATAAAATTTATATAACTCACTTTCAAAATGATGCTGGGGCCAAAGGGCCAACATGAAGTTTGGGATCACTATCACTGATTTTTTTTTATATATAAAACAAGAAAATGACAAGAAAAAAAATGCTGTTTCTAGTTTTTATCCTCCTGAAATCAATTCAATCCAGGCTAAATGTAGACATAATTTGATTTTGTAGTGTGAGGGTAGATTCTTGCACTTCTTGAGTAGTAGTGCAATATGGATGGGCATTGTAGGAAGCTAAATTTGAAGATTATCTCTGTAATAATCTGTTTACCACATCTGGGTAGCCTGAGTCAATTTAACTTTCATAAATGCAATACTTATAATGCTTGTGTAGTTTATTTGCCTTCAGATTTGAGACCTTTGGAAAGGAAAGATTATGTCTTATTCTTCTTTACAATTCCACTTCTTAGCAAAGCACCTGGCATATAGGATATGTCTGATAAATATCTGATGAATTTAGCTGGACAGGAGGCAGGTTATGTAGCAGATGTTCTACCTCAATATAAACCAATAACTTCTTTATTTTGGTTATTCATTCATTTGTTCACCCAATATATATTAAGTGACTACTGTGACAATCCATCTAAAATATATTTGAGTGAATAAATATATATATCTTAGACTAATGATGCACAAGGAGGCATAATTTTTTAATGGACTGTGGGAAAAATCTTTTACTATGACTTAGACAATTAGAATTGAAGACATGATGTTGAGGAGACACACAGATGAACAGGATTTTCTTTAATGCTTAAGTGTCTCCGTTAAAATTAAACTATGATATAACCATTAAGTGGAAGAGGGGTCAGCAATCTACAGGCAGTGAGTCAAATCTGGCCTGCTGCTCATGTTTATACATAAAGTTTTATTAAGACTCAGCTATGTTCTTTCATTTACCTATTGTCAATAGCTGCTTTCATGAGGCAGAATTGCATTCTTGAAGCAGAGACCAGTTGACTTGCGAAGGCCTAAAATGTCTAACCCTTTACTAAAAGAGTTTTTCAATTCCTAAACCAGAATATACTTGGTAGTAATCTTTGTAAAGGTGTTATCTAAATTTTAGATAGCTACTTAGGAGACGGAATTACATAAACAATTCACTCAACCTCTCTGAGCCTCTGTGCCCTCATCTGGAAATTGAAGACTTGCTTATTTATTGTAGGTAAAGTGCTAGGGAAATTGTAGTCCTCTGATCTCATTCTCAATCTAATGCCTATGTGGAGTTAGACTTTAGTGAATAATCTTGAATGAAAACACCCAATAGAATTAGGACATCTGACCAAATGGCAAGCAATCTTTTAGATTAAGCAGAAACTTTTCTAAAGATCTTTACAGGCTTGTCCTTGAATTTGAACATTAATTTAAAAATACTCCATAAACAAGAAACATTTCAGAGAGTGGAGACTCCCTCCTTCGTGAGCATGATTGCTAGTGGCTTTAATACTAATAATCACTACCATTTGGGGCCTTGGGATGTACAAGACATGATGCTGAGGGCTTCACAAATATTATGGCATTTAATCCTCAGGATGACCCTATGAGGAAGGTATTTTTATTTGATTTCAGATAAAGACCCTGGGGCTTGGGGAAAAACTGAATGCTTTGTTCAAAATGACTCAACTAGGGAGTGGGGAAACAAGAATTTGAAATCAGATCTACCCTGAAAGGTAAGCCTTTAGCCAATACCCTATCTTGCTTCCTGATGCTGTCCCTGAAGCCTACTCTTTCTTGCCTCTCCATTGTTGACATCTTCACTCTTGTTACTGCATTTTACCTTTAGACTGCAGGACAAGATCAGGGCATAGGTAGAAAAATATATGATCTTACAGGTTTCGCCAGGAAGGAAAAGGGAATTCCATTTTTCCATAGAATTCATGCTAGCCAAAGATAGTTTTAAAGCACACCTTGAAAACCCTTTATTATTTAGTTGATAATTAAGATGAAATGCAGTGAAACACTGATAATAATGCACCCAGCAATAACCAAAAATCAGAAATTACATGACGGATGATTGACTCTTAGTGCCTCAAAACTTCCAGCCAGGTAACTACAGAGATTCAGCTGATCATTTCACTAACCTTGGTATAATATGACTCGCATTTTATACCTTTGAATTTTCATCTCTGTTTATAGAGTTTTGGTAGAGTTTTACTGTGCTATGTGAAGCAATACCTCTTCCATTTGACTAGTATGTAGTTTCATCAGTCACACTGTTCAGACAAGTACGTGAGACCCAAACTATAGCATAGTTTGACAAGTTGGACTAGAAAGGCATGGAAATTTTGGTGACAGATATATATTATTGCATTCAAAGTATTATAGGGACATAGTGGTCGAACTGTTGGATTCTCTGTTGGCTGCTTCCCAATGAGAAGGTCGGGAGGTAATATTTCCTCACTTGTCTCAGATTTTCCCTTCTGTGGAAACTTCTGCCAACTGATATTAACATCTCTAGAGTTAGTGTAGCTTTTTCCTAAAAGAATATGAGTATAGCAGGAGGTTTTAAATATTTCTAGTTAGACACTGATAATGGACTGAATGTGTCCCCTCCAAATTCATATGAAGTCCTAACTCCCGATGTAACTGTATTTGGAGACAGGGCCTATAAGGAGGAAGTAATTAAGGTTAAGTGAATTTGTAAAGGTGGGGCCTTAATCTGTCCCTGTAAAAAGAAGAGGAGAAACCAGAGCTCTCTCTTTCTGTGCATTGCAGAGGAAAGGCCATGTGAGGATGCAGCAAGAAGGGGACTGTCTACAAGCCAGGAAGTGAGCTCTCACCAGAAACCAAAGATGCCTGCACCTCGAGCTGACATTTCTAGCCTCCAGAATGGTGAGAAAATAGATTTCTATAGTTTTAGCCGCCCAGTCTTTGGTATTTTGTTATGGCAGCCTGAGTTGACTAATAAATCATCTGTTGTAAACAGGAAGCTAAATTCTGGCAATTCCATTGCCAATGCCACTTAAATTAGAACTTTTCTCAGTATAGGGCATGTTGATTGTTATATAAGAGATTATTGTTGAAAAATTCCTTTCTCATAAGAGAAATGTTCAGTTAAAAGTTTTTGTAGAAGCAATATATTAAAGAATTTTCTTTGCATCCCCCTTATAAATGGCAGTGTTTGACCCTTTGAAAGGTTTTTTGAGATCTGATTTCTCACCATAGGCATGTTTAGTTACTAAAGACCTGATGTTTCAAAGAGACTAAATATCCAAATACATACCATATATATAACATCCTATAGTTCTGCTTTTTAATGAAAAATACTTTTCATTAGATTTATGTTAAAATTTCCTTTTCTTTTTCTTCTTTTTTTAATTAGTTTTTTTGGTCAATATTTAATTTCAAAGGAAAAATTCTATTGCTAGGAGACGCACCTGGTAAATATTTGACAACCATTTTAACTTTGGGATTGTTGTTACAAAATCTTTACCTACTGTCTCCATTGCTGACCAATATTGTCCAGGATTTCTCTCAAATTTTCTACTATTCTAATAGATTTCTCATTCCTACTTTGGCTTTCCTTAGTAGAATGGACTGTTAGTATGAAGCAGTTGAACTAGTCAGCTATTTTGATCATTACTGTTTCTTTTGAAAGATTATAGTTAATATTTTAAGAATTAGACAGAGGAGACTTAGCAACCAAAACAGCACTGGACTCAATAGTAACTCAGTGGTGAATGTGGTCAGAGGACGTGGAATTTGGTGATTTCAGGAGAGGACGATTTGGAGTTGGGGTTTAGTTTCAGATTTAGTTTCCACTTTTTAAACTTGGTGGAGATTTTCAGGTCCACATAACATAAGGGCTTTCTTGTATAACTCAGGATCATCTGAGTTTGGTTCTGGCAGGCTGTTCCCTTTGGACCTGAACAGAGTGAAATTTAAGTGTTGAATTCATCGTTTACATATACATTTCCCTTCAATCTTTTGTGGTCTCTATGTTTAAGGAAAATAGACATCTCTTTGTTTAAGGAAAATAGCTTATATTTTAAATATTTTTATGTGGTGTATAAATGTAGCCTATTTTTATTTTTCGCATATTTTGGAAATATCTCAAAGTATCGTATGTCAGCCATCATAAGGACATGTGATGATTTTAAGATGTTTTTCTAATGTATTATAAAATACTTTTATATTTTTGTCCTTAATACATCTGAAGAGCATAGATCATTGATGATCATGAGGAACAACACTGGAAGATTCTGAAAACTAAATTATCAAGAAAGATTATGTAATGTTCAAGGATCTTCACACCCTGCCCTTGGTTTGCCATTGGATTTATCTCAGGATGCTCTATTTTGCACCATTCATAATCACAACTAAAGACTTTCTGTCTCAGTGGGATGCACTGCATTTGAATGCCTCCTTGCCTTACTTAATACCCTTTCCTCTGCTAGGAATGCCAACCCAACTCGTTTCATCTCATCTGCCATTTTTCATTTGACCAATTCCAATTTGCCCTTTTAAACATTCTTAAAGGATCCATGCAGCCTTCTCTGACCCTTCCATGCAGAATTAATTGTCCTGCCACAACACCAAATACATCTTTTATTATGAATTATTTACTTATCCATCTCTTCCGTTAGTGAAAGTATTCTTCAAAGGCAAGGACTATGTTTATTCACTTCGTATTTCATCTTATGGCCTTTGTGCTGAGCCTGGCATATAGTAAACAATGCATAAATATTTGGTCACTAGATTTGAAGTCCTAGATTTGCTAATTCTACATTCTAACTTTGAAAGTTTGTAAAACACACATATATCACATATATGGTAGGGTTGTTTTAGGGAGAATAATTGAATTAAAAAAACCCCTCACTCTCTGGTATGATATTATAATTTGTTAAAATAATAAAATAAAAAGTAAATATACTAATATATTTCTGCCTAACTAGATGACTCTTGTTTTGACCAAAGAAACTTGAGTGGAAGTAACACGTTACTTCTTGGTGAAGGCCTTTAAGAGCTGCTGTGTGATTTGCCATGTGCCCTTTCCACTGTAATGGAAATGTGTGATGTAGCAGATGATAGAGTCCATTAGCTTGCATCTCTTATTGAAGACCATCAGAGCAGAGCCAAAGTGGACATGTAATCTGAGAAAGAAATAAATTTTTGTCATTTTAGGCTATTGAGATTTAAGGTTTATTACCACAGCTGAAATGAGTTTATTCTGACTGATACAATTCAATAATAATTTGTGGAATAGACATTATCATAAATGAGAAGTGAAAAGGCTATTATTCAAAAAAGAGAATACAGACAAGAACTTTTATTAATCCAGATATTTTCCATTTTTAATTTGTTGGGATATTATTAAAAACATGTAATGTTAGATTTTGTACTTCAGAGATTGGAACAACATTCCACTAAGGACAGACTATACTTTGTTATATCTTTGCCAGCCATCAAACCTTTACTTGAGTATTTACTATACTATACGAAGTAGCATATGCCACTACAGAAGGCTCATCTTTAAAGTTTTTTGCATTTTATGTATCCCTTTATCCTATATACTAATTATATAGCATTGCTACATGGAAAATAATTTCTCTTTATTTATGTTTATGTCTCTACAAAAGCATTTGTTTTATTTTAACTTATCAAGTTAGTTATTCATTTATCTTTTCATTCATTGCCTTACTAATTCATTCAACAATCACTTTTGAATGCCTAGTATATGTATTATGTTTGGTGCTGGAGTCAAGTGTGAGTGTGTGTGTGTGTGTGTGTTGGTATTTGTGAGAGGTGTACTAGTTGATGGGTACTGAGATAACATTACATTGTCCCTATCCTGAAGGACTTTGTAGTCTAGTGTAGTGTGTAATGACAACAGCTTTCAAACACTGGAATCACCAAATTGTAGTGGTAGGTCAACATTTTCCGGTTGAATAATAGTCATTTGGACTCTAAGTGGTGACATCTTCAAGCTTGTGAAATTTAACTGGAAAAGAACAACTGTCTAAAAAGAATGTGCTCTTTTACTCAGTGAGCATGAAGGGTAATTGTAAAGACATGGATGGATCACATTACCTGGAAAGTCTCTCAGAATGGGCAACACAATCCTTAGAGGAGTAAATATTACTTAATAATACTTGAAGAGGAGTTTTTCCCAAAACAGTCCAGACCAAGAGATAACTTCCTTCTTTGATGAAGTAAAAAACATCTACATGAGTCACTCCTTAACCTCTTTCCATTTGGCATCTACTTCCACTGAGCTGCCATAACTTCTTGTTCAGGGATCTCTAAGATCTCCTAAACATAGACCACCGGATTACCTTCCATATTACAACATTGTGATACTGTTGGTTACAACATATGTCTTGAAATTCCTCTGGCTTCCCTCTTTTGATTTCTTCCTCATTATCATTCATGGAAAGTTTTCCAAAATATTAGCATTTGGTCTCTTTCTCTTTTCTGTACTTGTCCTCTTACTTGGTGATACATTTCCTCATAGGACCATATCTCTTATCATCATATAAATGACTCAAATAAATATCTACATTAATGATTTTTTTCCCAACTACTGTTCCTATGTTTACAATTAAGTGGTGGATGGATCCTCTTAGACATTATTTAAATATTTCAAAATTAAACATTTCAAAGGTGAAATCCTTGTTGCTTCTTTCTCTCACAAAACAATCAATTTCTTCAGACTACAAACCTTCAAATTATTTCCTCATGGTTAAGACTGCAATATGTTATTAGACAAACCTGCATTCACATGTCAACTTTACTCTAAAAGCTATGAGACCTTGAATGGTTTACTAACATCTATAAGCATCCGCTTTCTCATTTGTAAACTGAAATAGTAATAGCCACTTCTTCACCAGGATATTTATATAAAATAGTCAGTGTATGTAGAATGCATTCTTTAGAGTTGAGTACAGGATAAGTGCTAAACAATGGTAGTTTATTTTTTTAATATTTAATATTAATCTTCAGGTTTATTTTATTTTATTTATTTATTTTGCTGAAGAAGATTAGCCCTGAGCTAATATCTGTTGCCAATCCTCCTCTTTTCTTTTTTTACTTGAGGAAGCCTAGCCTGAGCTAACATCTGTGCCAACATTCCTCCACTTTATATGTGGGTCACCACCACAGCATGGCTGACAGGTGGTATAGATCTGCCCCTGGGATCCAAACCCGAAAACCTGGGCTTCTGAAGCAGTGCTTGCTGAACTTAATCACTACTCCATGGGACCAGCCTCTAATCCTCATGTTTAAAATAAGAAACTAAGTATGGTTACTTTTTTATGCTTAAAAATGTTCTTGCATTAATTTATTTTTCATTCCCTCTTAACCACTTTCATTTACAGTCTTGTTACTTCTCTTGCTTGTGTGTTATGAAGGAGTGGGCATTTGATTTAGGCTTTGACACATGGGCACCAACTAGGTGAGAAAAAGCATTGAGGCAAGAAAATGAACATTGTCTCCAAAAGCAAAGACTTGAGCTCCTCGGGGCATGGAGTTCATGTGGAGGAAGTGTGTGGCAGTAGAGTTTGAAATGGCTTTATTGTGTGGAAAGCATTGTGTACTTTCCTAGGACTACTTCACTGGGAGTGAGGGACAGGAAAGATGTTTGAATTAAGGAGGGACCTTCCTAAATCTGTGCTTCAGGAGTGTACATCTGACATCAGAATGTGACCGAAAGGAATGGAGATGCATTGGGGACAAGGGCATGAGTTAGGAGATTACTGGAATCATGCAGGTCAGCAATAATATTTTCACAGTCATGAAAAAAATTTCAGAAAGCAATGCAGCAAGTCAGGAGGAGACAGACTCTATTTCAGAGATTGGACTCTAATCCCTCAGGAAATGAAAAGGAAAGAGGA